TGGTGGGGGGTTCAGGATGTGCAAAACCACATCAAGGTTTTGGTATCACCTGGTTATAGATTGCTCAAGTGCATTTGGGAATAGAGTGTAGAAGCATAATCGCTAACCCCATCAGATGTTATCTCACCTGTAGGAAAAGGCAAGGACTGGGGTAATTTATCTTTTAAGGAATATCGTGACTCAGGGGCCGTGTGCTCTATCCTGTTTTGTCTCTAAAGTATCTTTCCAGAGAGTTGCATATCATCACAGAGTGAGAGGCTTTGTGAAATTATATTGGCAAGTGGACACAAGCAAACCTGGCTTTTTACATTTGCTGCTTTGTCTCACATGAGTATGGGGACCAGATCATAAAGGATCTCATATGCCAGGTTTAAAAAGTGTGAACTTTATTGTGTCAATGGGGAGGTTTCCAGGTATTTTAAACAGGAAAGTAACAAAATCCATTTAGTATTTTGCTTGTTAGCAACTGTACAACTACTTACAATCTGGCAGATAGAAAATACTAATGAGTGATTGAATCAGGCTCTGTGGGTTTCCCTCCCACCACCACCACCCCAATTCCTGTTCGTCCTGACTGGCAGAGCTCACCTCTCACTTTCAAGCCTAGAAATGCCCAAGAATCATTTTCCCAGCCTCCCTTGCTGCAGTACCTCAGGGATGGCAGAGCAGAAAGATGGAAGTGACATCATAGAACCACATAGAGACATATCCCTCTGGAGATAACAGATAGTTATTTTTAAAGTCACTCTTCTTTGGATATTCTGTTACTTTTGCCCTAAAGCATACCAAGGGAAAGAAGTATTAATAAAATAACTGACATGAATTAATGTGATGTCATAAAAAAATATAACAAACAGACACTTTTTTCCTTCAGCTATTTATTTGAAATAAATCAGCCTCTTAAAACTAGGAATAGTTAACTATCATTATTAGCTGTTCACCGAACATTTTGGATCCTCAAGCAAGAAACTACACAACCTCCAAGATGACGTGTGTTGTTTCTCTGTATCTGAAATGACCTTTTCTCACTTTTTTTTCTCTCATTTGCACATTTCCCCTAAGAAACACTGAAAACTTTCCCCCTGTTCCCTCCTAGGCAGCAATGTCTCTTTCTTGAAGTCATGGAAGTCAAAGCACATTCTCTAAGAAAAATCAGCGTTGTGTAAGCAAAAGAATTGCAAGTTCCAGAGCTTCAGGCAGCAATATGATGTGCTCAAAGTGAAAAATTCCTTACAGATCATCTGTAGTAACACATTATAATTTGAATACAGGTAAAACCAGAACATCTGGTTAGAGTTCCTAAGACCATTAACACTGTCTTCCATCCTAAATTCATTTACACAGTAGCTGGCAACTTGTCAGCGATTCCTTCTGGTCCCATCTGAAGTAAACCCAATCCATTCACCAAATCCACGCTGGGGTCCTCCAGCCACCACTGGGAATTCCTTCCTTCATTCCAGGAATATTTACTAAGGATCTACCAAATGTTGGCACTAAGACTTAATCGCTCTAATCTTTACTCTCATCTTGCTTACTATGTTTTGGGGATACGCATTACTTTTCCATATGCGAACAATTTAAAAAAATATAAATGAGAAAAACTAGATGGAGATGGAGAATTGGAATTGCCAGCTAGAGACGGGGGACGGTAGCTGCTTAGGTTTGGTCCATGTCTCCTTTCTCTCCCACTCCCTTGAGCGCGCTGGAGACGACCTCATTCTCGCAGCCACAGGTGCGGACACCCGGCAGGACGGCCGGGATCCCCGCGGGCACCTGGCGCCGGGGGCGGGCGGGCGGGCGCCGCACCTGCGGCCGCGCGGGGGCGGGAGCCAGGTGGCCTCGGCGCGCCCGCCTCGCCCGGCACCGCGCAGGAAGTGGCTGCGGCGCGGCCCGGGCGCGGCTCGCTTCCTCGCGGTGCAGCCCGGCCGGGAGGCGGCCGCGGCCCGAGCCCGAGCACCGGGAGCGAGACCGAATGGCGGGCCCCGGGGACGCCGCCTCGGCCGCCCTGGACGAGCTGTCCCTGAACTTCTCGTACTGGGTGCCGGGCGCCGGCAACGGCTCCCTGTCGGGCGCGTGGTACCGCAGGAACCAGGTAAGGGCCGCCGCCCTGCAGCCCCGCGCAGCCCCGGCGCCGGCTCCGGGCGCCCCTGCGCTCGGCCGCAGTCCTGCCACTCTCGGGAGGACACCCACGCTGTCCGAGTGGGAAGGGCTGACATGTGACGTTTCCACGCACTGACTTAAACCAACACCCTCCCTCCCCCCCGCTTATTTGGGAGAGCAGGGCGCCCAGGGCTTCGGCCTGACCTCTGCGGGCTGGCCCTGGGCCTCTGGGCCCCGACGGATCCCGCCTCCCCAGCCCTATCCCGCCCTCTTACCCCCGGAAGGATTCTAGGAGTGTGGGGAGTGAATGGTACTCATTTTCACCCCACGATCCTTTTACAGTTAAAAGAAAAGTGGCACCCCATTCTCAAAAGCAGGGAACCCAGTAAGGGCAACCAAATGTCAACTCACGCAGATGCCCCGTGTGTGTGTGTGTGTGTGTGTGTGTGTGTGTGTGTGTGTGTGTGTTGTGCACAGTGTCTCAGCCCAGCTCTCTCAGCCCAGCTCTTCCAGTTCCGTGCCAGGAACGGTGATATTCTCAGGTTGCAACTGTAGGGCCCTTTGGGAAAACATTGCCAACCTAAACAAGGCCAGTTTACACTGAAAATATACATTTAACAAGATCAAAAGGGGCTGGAGCACCCCATTTATTTTAGGTTTGGTTTAAGGTCAGATAAAGAGCTCTGGCCAGCCCTCATTCATATTCTTTCCAGTGGGGGCCAGTGAGCTTGAACACTGGACTCCAGGCTTCCTCCTGTTTCCATAACTGCTGCTTTGTTCTTGGTCTTTAACAAAACATTGACATTTTTATTTTACAACAATATAATCATAAAATATCTGTTGCTATTGGTCTAAATCAGGGATTTTAACCAATAACCGAAGATCTAGATTCCTTATTTATGCTTGAAAAGTATCTCAAATGCTAGTTTCTGAACGAAGAAGATAATTTTTTGTAAGGAATAAGATGAGTAAGCATGTCCACCTTATTAATTTTCAAGAGGGAGAGTATTGCTTTAAGTCCATTTCATCACAAAACATACTAAAATATGAAAAATGAGAAGACTCAGAGCCTCTTTTTGAATGATTGTACCTTTTCCTCATTTCTCTCCTTCCTTCCACCCACAGGAATTACAAAGAAAAGAATCACTTTTTATGGGATGTTCTTTGAGTCTATCTGTTACATTATGCTTATACTGGATGCATTCCCAATAAAAGTTTAAGAATGACTTATCCCCTCTTGGTAAAGAATTAGAGGGTTAGTAGATGTGACCTACTGTGGCATCATCCAAAACAGGAAAACATTGTTTTCGTAGTGGAAATTTCTGTAGTCATTAGTTTTCTTTGACATTTCCTGGAATTCTTGATTGTCTTGGCTCTCTGATACCCAAACACACATTATCACATGACACAAATGTGAGACAAATAATGTTTGCAAAGCTTAATTTGCCTTTGACAGTGTGTATTTATACAGGTTAGAAAGGGTGTATCCAGAATATGCTAATTGTAATTACTGAGCTGACAACTTAACTATTGCTGGTTTGGGATAAGACTGTTACCAACTTTTCCCATTGTTTTATTTTTTTTTCTTTTATTACAATTGGGAAAGAAGCAACTTTTCCCATTGTTGTGCAAATTTAGGCTATCTTATAAGAATGTGGTATTTTACCCTTTCAGTAATTGTATTTGTTTTAAGCATAAGTTAAAATTAATCTTTAAACTTCATTCAATGAGCATTTTATTGAGTGCCTCTAGCTGTCTAGGCCAGTACAAGTAAAATGTAGTATAACTTTTCTATTCTTTTCTTTTCTGACAGTAGCAGAATAGAGATGGCTCAAAATGGGGTGGTTCCAGAAAAACAAAGTGTGAGATAATAAGTTTTTGACTCCCACAATCAAAATTAACCTTGGTCACTGGCTAGCCAGGGTTTAATGATGCTTGCTTCTGTCAGTTTGTCACAACTGAAATATTTGCAGCATCTCTTTGCTGATAGCCTAGCCAGGTACCTTTCTGAACATTTCCCTACCTAGGGTACAATTCTGCTGTCATTCTGGTTGCAGTGGAAAATGGAGACTGACTGTAAGGTGAAAATATGGTTTAGGGTCTTAGATATAGTCATGGATTGCCATGAAGGACCGGTGAAGAAGTTTGGACTTTATCTTTTAGACAATGGGGAGCCACTGAAGATTTTTTTCTTTTCTTTCTTTCTTTCTTTCTTTCTTTCTTTCTTTCTTTCTTTCTTTCTTTCTTTCTTTCTTTCTTTTCTTTCTTTCTTTCTTTCTTTTCTTTCTTTCTTGAGCAGGAAGTGCAAGAATCAAAGCAAATTAAATAAAAGAAATTTAAAGTAGGATTAGCAGGATATAGAGGACTCAAACAGGCCAGCTGTGGACGAAATCCAGTCCATAGATGTGTCTTGCTTGACCTGCAGAGGAGTTTAAAAAATGTTTAATACATTGCCAACATTTAAGAATGAGATTAAATATAAAATTTCAAGTTTCCATCATCTCTTTAAAGATTAGAAGTTCTAGCAACAGAGCCCTTTTCCCACATGACCACAGTGAGCTGGAGCCTCCACTGTAGCCTCTCCCTTTGTTCTCATTTCTTTTACCTATTGGCCCCACCCCATAGGCATTTAATTGGCAACCAGCACCAGAATCTGTTGACTTGTACTTGGGCAAGTCCCTTAATTTCTCCATGGCTTGGTTTCCTTACCAGTAAAATCAGGGTTGGACTAGAAGATCTCCAAGGTCTCTTATGCTATGTGGTTATATAAATTAGGGCGAAATTAGCAAGATTGTAAAGGGAGTGGACAGGAGAAGAATAATGTGGGAAATATTGTGAAGGAGGGTTTTGCTGTTGCCTCTTTAAGTTTATGCATATTGCTAAATACCCAAATGCACAATTACATTGTTGGAAAGGTTTATTCTACATAGAGTGAGGTGAAACTTGAGAATTTTTTATGCCCTTTATTTGAACTTTTGATTTTCAGTGGCTTGAGTTTTTAAAGTCAAGATATTTAAAGGAAAATTGGTACAATTTGGCAGGGAAGAGGCAAAGTGAAGAGATTGACATTTGTTATGCAGTTACCATGTGACACTTTATAGCTATTATCTCATTTAAGCCCCTCAACAACCTCATTAAGATAAATATTACCCTCACTGTTCATATAAGGGACCTTGTGTTAAATAACGTGCCCCACTGTCTTAGAGTAAATGCCTGTAACTGCAAAGCTATATTTAGGCCATGCCTAAAGGCCATTGCTAGAAGCCAAGGCTTGAAAACAGTATGGTGTAAGAATAAATGTGAAGGAGACCATGAATGTGGCTTCTGTTGCTGTATTGAAAAACACAATCATGTTAAGCTTTGTATTGCCCTTTTATTGATTTTGCTTTGCTACCATCTATCTCTTTGCTGCTGGTAGCTGCATGTGACTGTCTCTGTCTCTTAAAAAAAGAAAAGTGTCAAAACTTGCAAATAATCAAAGGGCTGGGTAGAGGTTGTTGGTCCTTTCCATTTCCTTCTTAAGAAAAATCCTTTTTCTGTTTTATTTTGTTTATATTTACAAATATATTTGTTTGCTTTTGTAAAGGAAACAGTTATATTTGTTTGCTTTTGTAAAAGAATAAATAAGTCTCCTGGTCCCTGTTAGAGGAATAGTTTTAATGCCTTTGTGAAGTTGGCAGACCAGGTATTTGCATTTAGATCTACCTGATACCCTCCTTATGGCTTGATTCATACTAACTAGTTGTAATGTTCACATTGATGCAGTCAAATCCAGGCTGTGGGAAACTCTGGCAGTTTATAGGTTTATGTGGCCTAGTTTCTTCAAAAATCATTTTTATAAGGAAAAAAAGGGACAGAATGGATGGTGGGAGAATCTATAGATTAAAATAGACTTAAAAGACATAGCAGAAAAAAGGCAACTACAGTTGTACCAAGGGGTACACACTTGGGTGATAAAACTATACGGAAAAGCAAGAAAGTGATTGCCACAGAGACAGGCCGGCGGTTTTTCAGGGACAGGGAGAGGGTTTTGATGGGATTAGGGCAAAGGGAGGGCTTTGACAGGGGCCCAATTTCTGTTTCTTGATGTGGATGGTGGTTACAAGGGTGTTTGCCTTATGATAATTCATTAGAGTGATTTGTTTATCTAAATATTTCTCTTTGCAATTGTCTATATTATATTCTACAATTCTAAAAAGTTTAAAAAATAATATTAGCATTGCTATGACTGTTCAACTTGCATGTTTCACCTGGGTGATGCAGGATATAGTATGCCATAGTCATTTTGTTTGCTTATGAGAATTATTTAAACAATTTCTTTTAAAACGTTAATGATTATTCAAATTGGCATTTGAGAGCTTACCATGGAAAGCATGACATTCCCCAAAGTTATCCTTTTTGTTTCTGTATCATGCTGTTTTAAAAGCTCAACCTCTTTACTAAATGTGTTGGCAAGTTTCTCAATTTCTCCGTTTTTGGGCTTTCTCTATTAAAATGGAAATAATACATACAGACCTTGTAGGGTTGCTGTAGGAATAAAATAATGCATATCAAATAGTTAGCAAAGTACCAGACACATAGAAAGTACCTGATAAGCACTAGCTATTATTAGCAGTAGCATAATCAACCTAT